AATATGTTGTTCAAAAGATCTTGAATAAATTATGATATCGTCTAAATACACTGAGACAAATTTAGCTGCATATGGTTGTAGAACATAGTTCATTAATCTTTAGAAAGTTCCTGAAGCATTACATAACCCAAAAGGTATTACGTTGAATTCATATAATCCAAAATTAGTGATAAAGGCAGTCTTTTCCTTGTCCTTTTCTTCCATTTCAACCTGCCAGTAACCTAGCTAAGTCTAATGTAGTAAACCAATTTGCTGTTTTAAATGATTCTAACATATCATCAATCCTTGGTAAAGGGTAAGCATCCTTTTTCGTGACTGCATTCAATTTCCTATAATCAACACATATTCTTTTGTCTCCAGTTTTCTTGGCCACAATTACTACTGGTGAGGCCCATGGACTTTTTGATTTTCTAACAATACCTTTATTTTCCATGTCTTCAATCTCTTGACATAGAAATTGTTGGTTATCTGGACTACTTCTATATGCCATTTGTGCAATTGGTATATCTTTTTCTAAGATTATGGAATATTTGATAATAGCAGTTTGTCCTGTATCTGTTTGGCTTCCAGCACACAAATCACTATTTTCTTCGAGAGTTTGTTGAAATGTGTTTTGTTTATGGCATTCAGTGGTCTAACTTGTAATTTGGGTTTTTCTTGTTCTTCATTTGGCAAGTCAGCTAGATATATACTTGGGTATTTATTTTTATGTATCCTTATACGAATTTCTTCTAAGATTCTGTCTGCATATTTAGTATGAGTGGGAGTTGTTTCACCTTATTCTGCCATATCTGCATATTCTTCCAAACAAAATGGCCACCATTTTTCTTGCTTTTCTAGTTCAGTTTGTTCAAAGGTCCAATTTGGTGCGATTTTAGTAATATATACATCGCAATCATAAAAGTCATCATTAAAGAGATACTCTACATCTTCAGGTTTAATTAGAATACCCGTTTCCTCATATGTTTCCCTTAATACTGCTTGAAGTAACATTTCATTAGATTCCACTTTTCCGCCTGACACTTGCCACATTTTATACATTTCCTTTCGTAGATTAATTCTTTGTGACATAATAATATCCTGATGATCGTACATAATATTTATTACATACTTTGGTTGAGCACTATTTTCAACTTCGCTTAAAAATACGTCATATTCATCCAAGTCTTCTTTTTCATATTCATCTAAGACTTGATCTAAGTTTTCTTTTTCATCTACCATTCCTTCTTCAAAAAGGATATTAAAAGTAGCTCGTTTTGTAACATATGAAATAGAAGCAGTTGCATACTAAAGTCAAGATTCATCTTAGTTTTTCTATACCAATCTACTCCTAATAATAATGTATCCTGTGGCGATTCAATTACTTGAAGTTCTACTGGAACTGATACGTGTTGTATAATTATTCTTGCTTCAGTAATTTGTCCTAATGCTCTTACATGACTTTCATTAGCTGTGGTCACAATTAATTTAGAAGGTTTATCAATATTAAGTCCCAACTTTTTAGCTAACTTGTTGGTAATAATGCTGACAGCTGCTCCTGTATCAATTATAGCTTCGATGGGATTATTCTTAATTCTAATATATGCTTTGCAGGAAGTTATTTTCTTTCCTGGTTCATCATTTATGAATTCTAAAGAATTAACACTAGGTGTTGATATAAGATAACGTCTTAAAGCATTTGCTAAATTTCTTCTTTGGGCTGGTATTTGTAACCATTGTCCTAGAGTCACAAAAAATTGTTTTGATAGAATATCATCAGCTATATTATATGATGCAAGATTATCAATTCTAGAAGGATTTCGTGCTCTTTTAGCTGGTTTTTGTTTAGGAGTGGATTCTACTTCTATTTCAATTGGATTAATAACACGAGTTCTAAGATTCATTTCTTTATTCAACTCAGAAGTTCTAGTCATCTCTCTCTATCGTGTTCTTGCATTCTTCCTGTCAGTAGTATATGGTCGAGACCTTTTTTCTGCATATACTTCAGATGTTTCCTCTTCCTCTTCATCATCAGTAAAAACCTCAATTAAATTAACATTTCTTGGCTTCGTTTTGGAAGATCTTTCAGATAAGCATTCTCTAGAATAATAACCTTTTTCCTCACATCGCCAGCAGACTATTTGGCTTTTGTCAAAAGGTTTTCTTTCATTATTATTCCTTGTAGTATTCATGCTTTTAGGTGGAATATTTGTGATCCTTGGAGTTCCATTTTGTGCTGCTAATACATTGACAATATTCGCATAATTAAGGGAGAGTTGTTCCATTTGCTTCGTCAAGGCTTCAATTACATCATTATTAGTGACTTGTGGGGACTCTTTCATGTAATACGTTCCCGCTTCAGTTGCTCTGGCTTCATTCACAGTTGTCCTAAGATTAGCAGGATCTGCCATTGCGACTCTTGCTGCAATGTTAGGTTTTAATCCATTTAAAAATAACCTAATTTCGTAATCATTTGGTAAATTATCACCTGGATTAACTAATCTTTTAAGGTTGTTGAATCTAGCGCTGTAGGTATCTATGCTTTCATTTGTCATTTATTTGATATTGGATAATTCATAATGCTATTTATTCTTTTGTCTAGCTGTGATAAAACGAGCTTTAAACATAGGGACAAAACTTATGTTGTCTTGCCTTTGCACACTTCAATAACGAACAGTATTTACTATATTATCATATCACAATGCCACTGGTCCTCTTAAATATCCTGTGACAATACTACGTTTTCTTTTGGGTGTCTAATTATTTGCTGTTGCAGCTGTTTCAAAGTGCTTAAGCCATTCCTCTGGGTTTTCGCTATCATTTCCCCAGAATGGTTGTACTTGTATGATATTAGTTTTCCTAGGGTATACCTGTGGTCGAGCATCTCTAATTTCTTTAACAATACCCTTAAAAGAATCACTCATTTGTCTAATAATTGCTGCAATACCATTATCATCTAATGCTTCATTATTTCCAATTTCATACTCTTCATCATCATTTCTCCATCCATCTTGAGAGCCGCTATGTGGTGTTGGTTTAGGTGGTTGTTTAGATGGTTGTTTAGGTAGTTTTGATCCACTTTGTTGATTGTTACTTTTATCTTCTCCTGTCATAATATCGATTGGTTTCAGAATAGGGCTTATTTCTAATGGTACTATTGGATCAAATTGGGTTTTAACTGGTTTTTTGAAGAAGTTTGATTCTTTTGCTGCTTTAATCACGCTTAAAGTAACAAATTCTGAATCTGGTCCAAGTATTTTAGGGTTGATAAAAGTTAAACTATATAATAATTTTTT